TGAGCTATCAAATCTTCAGTTTCAACAAACATCATATTCTTCACATCTTCTATTAGATTCTTAGACTGCCTTGTATAATCATCTCCCTGCACACTCAGTTAATTAATGTGTCATTCTTTTAGTAAAAATCTAATAAAATTATTAATATATCGAGAAAAGTTAATTAGGACAAAAAGAACTCACAACGTATTTGCTGTTCAGAGATTCAAGGAAACCATCCTTCCAAATATTTGGCTTGTAATTGGCAGAGCGTCTTTGGTGCTCATCAGCTTGAAAGTTTGTTTTAGAATCCATAATGGAAACTTGGTGTTTGTAAATTGTAAGGTTTTTGTTTGTAAATTGTATGGTTTTCTTGGCATTGCCCGTTATCTTTGGAGGGGTTTATATAGGCAAAGGTGTGTTTAATTTTCACATACAGTTCATACAGCCTCACTTTCAAGCTAAAACTGAGAAAATTGAAAACGTAACTAATTGAGTAATGCCTTTTTGGTATTTAACACATGTTTGATGTTTCATCGTACGACAAAGAAATGAACACATCTTTCATTAATGCGGTGGCGGGTCAAGAATGAATTGTGGTTTCGACGGTGAAATTTTGGAGCAACTGATCATTATTATTGCATGACAAAAGAGTCGTACATGAGATAACTGTCATTATGTGAAAAATGTGTTGGCAATTAACACGTGTTTCATGCATTCAGTGACTATTCTGCTTTGGGGTTCTTATGTCAAGGATATCACTGTCATTCGGCCCAAAAATCATTGGGCTCTAAGGGGTACAACATTCAACCCAAATAAAAGCCAAATGCAAAAGCCCATTAAGAGCCCGAAAAAATTTAAACGCCCAATTTTGATAGGGTGTTGATTTTTTCACTCATATATTGTTCACTTACACTTTTTTTTATTTTTTAATACTATTTACTATAACATATAATTTCCAATAAGGGAGTGTAAGTGCACAAGAGAGGAGTGAGAAAATCAGCTCTCTTTTGAAAATGTCATAGCATTTAATTATCCCAGCTCCTTCATTAGTCAAAATCTCAAGCAACAAAGAATGGGGCACTCTCCCATGATCAACAATGCCAAAGACCTCACACAGTGACACAGCAATTCACTTTTGGTATCATCCCGCTACCAATCTTCACACAACAATGCATGTGACATGATCAATCACAGCCAATCTCACTCTCCTACCATTACCCTTTTCTCTCTCCAATGCTTTCCTAATTTCACCCATGATTTCTTCATTGGAATTCAGTGGAAATTAAAATGGAACTTCGATAACATACTGCTCAGTACGCGAAAGTAGGCCTTGATTGAGTTCTTCACCGAGCACGGCATGACCACAGTGGAACATAATGACAGCATCCCCCTTGTTGAATTTCCCTTCAGGAAAGGCCCATGCTGTCTGCTGCAGGACTATGGCAACCGCAGTGGAGACATCGTCTACAATGGAGACTTGATCCACATCTTCTGCATTGATAAGGTCTTTAACTATGGTTCTTGATCCGAGTATATCCTGTTCTGGAGCTCATTCAATTCAAGTAGAAATGGTCCAGCTGGCGGAGCAATTTGAACTGCCATTGATGCAAGGCCGAGATGACAGAAGAAGAGCAGCAACCAAAGCTGCCATTGTTCATCCTAGCAACACCAAGAGCATGGTGAGCAAATTAGAATTCTGTGATGAAGGAAGAAGAGAGTTTTGGCTCAATAATGGGAACATGGGTTTGGATTCCATCAGCTTTTTGAGGTTGTGGAAAAGGTGTTTAGAGGCCCATGAGACTTGAAATGAATGTTTGGAGTAGAGGAATTGGAGGGTTTGATAAGGAAGCAGAAGAATAGGTGGAATATAATAGCGGCAAAACACAATAATCTTTTTAGCCATGACCTGCTCTGCTTACTCAAACCAGAACCATACACAACAAAAAAAATTAGCAAATGAGGATCAAAGCCAATTGTATTGTCGAGGCAAGAGTAATTGAACATGATGATTTTAAGTACCTTAAGCCTTTGTTGAAATTGGTTTTCTTACGTTAACGATCTCACTCATTCCTTGTCATTGTTCAACTTATTAATTTGTATTTTCAGCTTATGAACAAATGCAGCCTATAGCTGAACTGATACCATTTGTAGTTACAGTAACTTAAAATTTCTGGGATTAGAAAGATGAAGAGTAAATGTTTGAAGGCTTTTTAAGAGATGTATTAGTTACAATTTCTTATTATAAAAATGCAAGGGACAGAGAATTAAGGGCAACTACTTTTTAAGGAATGTTTCAGTTTTGGGGTTTCACTATTGTCAAACTGACTGCAGGAGGTGCTGTGTTCAAATGGAGTCCATTGTATTGAGACCAACAAAATCAATGAACATGGTGCTTTAAGAAAGTACTTAAATTTCAATAATTTAATTGAATGATCAAATGATATCGGTTTCAATTGATTTTTTTGTGATGATCTTTGAATGAATATCTACAAAATAGATGGTTTGGATTAGTGAAATACAATGCAAAGTGAGCCCTACAAGGGTGTCCCTCAAATAAGCTTTATATATATATGTATGTATTCATACATGAACTTTTCTGCATACCAAACCAAAACCAAAAACTCATGAACTTTTCTATATCTACTTCTTGTTTGCCTTGCCTAGGACTAGGAGAGTTAATTGTACAAAAGCCACTGCGCAACTATTAAAAGCATGCAGGAGATAAAACCATATAGCTTCGTTTTTTCATCCAACGGACTGCAGGCCTAATTGATCTACAGATTAACATAAAATCCCACGTCAATAACAAGTAAGCAAACCAAATTCAACAAGTTGCAGTGTCACATCATATGTATATAATTCAATATTCATTGAGCTTCGAAGGTAGGAGAAGGCCTTAGGCCTATTGACATTTGAGTCTGAAATTGATTAGAGAAAGAGTCAAAGTTCATAAGTGACTTCCGAATTATCCCAAATAGAAAACTCTCCTACTACTTCTACCTCTCATTTGACAAAGATATGCCTAATATAATCTTCTTTCCCATCTATCTACAGCCGCATTGACTCGACTAACTAAAATCACTGATGAAGCAAAGAAATACTGTAACAAACTAGTTTCAATTCTACACCTCTCTTTCCAATTAGTCTAACTTTCATACTGCATGAGAGAAACTTGTTGTGCACTATGCCTGTTTAATGTGATGTTCCCTATGCCTGTTTTCAACCTCAGGTAAAGTTGCAGAACATTCTCAATAAGACAGAGCTAAATTAATGCGTCGAAAGCAGCTTCAGCAATGCCGGTGGCAAGTCTTGACAATACAAAACAAAAACTTTATGGCAGGAGCAAACACCAAGGAAGACAAATGCGTTTTGTGTTCAAAGTTTCCTCAGGCAAAGTTTCGCATGTACTGGGCCAGCCATTGTTTACTTATTGAGCACAGGAAGTGCATTGGCATGTAATGCCTGCAAAAAAAATTACTACAAAGATAGGAATATAGTATGTTGAACAAAAAGATACGAATGTAGTAAAACCAAATGAAATTATTAGATTACTTCGAATGATTTATTTCAATCACATGGTTGAGATGCCTTCACCTCTTTACTTTTGGACACAGTGGCACACTGCACGTAATTTTGGCCAAGTTTTGTGACCTGTGATAGTCATGGAAACATTGCAGCAGAGAGGCTCTTACTTACCCTAGGCCTCCAGCTTCACATGTTTTTCTGATTAAATATGGAAAACTAAGGTCCAGTATCAGATCTGAAAACAGTTTTTCATTTTGGAAAACTCAAATACCTTTTTCGAAAACTAAGGTCTAGTAGCAGGAAGTTGAATCAATCATTTACAGGGGAATCATGTACAGAGTGCATGCTAAATAACGTCTTTTGATTAGGTTGATTGTCTCTTCCTACCTCCAAAATAATTAGTTTTAAAACACTGAGAAGTACATAACAGATGCTTGTATTACCCTAAATAATCTCAAATTTACGAATATATTGAAAACGTATAGAATATATATATATATATATATACTCTGATACCAGAAGGGAACTAGGACCTATAATCTAGAAGAACTAGATTAAAAAGGATTTTTAACTAGTTAACTAGTTGTAGGCGGAAGACTTGACTTTTGTTTGGCTTATGTATTTAATGACTTGAAGACTTTGTCTAATGGAGGTGATGACTTAGATACTCAATTTG